AGTGCAATAATAAAAAAAAACTGCCCTTTAATTCATGAAAATAAGCCTATAAACACTTTTTATTAAATATCTCCGAACAGGGTAATGTGGATTTATCCGAGTTTGAAGTTAAGCGACAATTAAAGACTTTAATAGTTTAATCTTTGCACGCGGTACAATATTACTTACCTCTCCTTGTTTAATCTTCCATTTCACTAATGTTCACGAACTGGCAATAAACAGTTCCCGAATAAAGTTTCATAACAGAAAATTACAAATAGCGCTAAATAGGCGGTACTGACCTATGTATGCTATTGCTGAAAATATCTCGTGTTTACATACAACGTACTAAAGCAAGGTGAACAGGTGTTGTATGGAGTACTACTCCTACGTACAACAAATCTGTTATTTCTCAATGTTTTTTGTACAGATTATTTATGGAGTCATAGCGCAGATCTTTTTAAATCTATGGTGCTCTTCTTGATCAATGTATACGAGTATCTTTAATTCTGGTGAGGATATTGCTTTGAACAGTCAAGTCTTTTTTAGTTTGTATATCCTACTTATGAGCATAGATAAGCAAATGTTCCAGAATCTTCCAGAAACCCAGACCTTCTTTAATTTTTAAGTAGGTATAATAGGGATTTAATGAATGCTGTTGACAACGCCACTTTTGTAGCGGATTTGGGCTGACACTTGGTTTGTTGTCGACATGATAAGAAGATGTTTCTTTAAAAGGAGAAGCTCGCAAACCATACTCGATACTCATATTATCAAATCATTGCCCTAAAAACTACCTTATTAACCCAGCACCTTTGATTCCAGTACGACAAAGACAACGATGGCAAGATATCGTACGTGGAGCTCAAAGGGATCATAGAGTCCCGGGAGTACGACCACGACCTCCCCGACAATGTGGTGGACAAGATCATGGGACTCGCCGACCGGGACAACTCGGGATACCTGGACTTCCCGGAGTTTGTGGAGATGATGCACCACCCTGATCTGAAGGCGGTCTTTGGACACTTCGTAGCTAGATACGTGCACTCCATCATCCCTCACAGGAACCCGGTTGATACTACAGGTAAGAAGGTTACAGACGATGGTACACACGGCCACACTGTTAACTATGCATTTCCGTTTTTGCTCTCGCTCTCATCAAATAGTGATTCTTTGCGATAGAACGAGACGACATGACCGGCAATGGGTAGTTAACACTGTTGCCGATGGTACATCCCCATAGACAAGTGGCAAACGTGACAGGTACAACTCTTTCGAGTTAACTGCGCACCTCGCTGGAATGCGACTCTTTCCGCACTCACCCGCACATCTCCCCGCGTTCGCCTCGTTCGTACCAGAGCGTCGATGTGACGTCACGGCCGCTAGATGCGCAGTTAACTCGACCGGGTTGTAATTCCGAAATTCCGACGCTTAGAGCGAAGGAATTTCGTTTTGTTGTATGTAGAGTGCTTTGTACTTTTACGAAATTACAACTGAGATGTTTTGCTAGTCTTGTCTAGCAGGGGCTGATTGTATTATTGATTCATAATAGCACGTGTTAGCTCAATTTGCCGTAGTCTGTACTGAATAGTTATAATGTAGTAGAGTGATGTGGCACTGCCTGATATTTTAAGTGATATTACCCGTTTGTTAAAATGTATCCTTACTCGAAATGTGGTCCGATTACAGGAGAGCTAAAGTTAGATCTATGTATTTAATTTACGCCACTCAAAACTACAACTTAGGATGGCACTTCCAACTTTCTGTAAAACTTGCTTCCAAAGAATTTAGGTAGAAATTGATTTTTTTTCCCTCACCCTGTGTAAGAAAAGGATACATCTTAACATTCGGCTGTTTGATATTTTTCTTAGTCTATGCTAGTTCTAAAGGTTCAATGAATAGCAAAAGTATCCGTTATTATTGATATTTAAATTCCGATACAAACAAGCGCATAAATCGCATTCAGCAACGTTTAGTGGGACATGAAACCTATTGTCTAGAAATTAATCCGACGTGGGAATAAATGTAATATCATTTTACGATCCATTCTTACGAGGAGGTAAAATAGGTAAAGATGTTTGTAATCACGAAATTCATAATAAATTCTATACTCTTACAATTACACTATTTAAAGCCATGAAAAGGCAGTCGACCAATGATAGACCTTTCAGACTTACATAACACGTTTGGTAGTAAAGTAACTAAGACAGAGGAAAGAATGGTTATAGAGATTGGAACTCTGAAAAAGTATTAAAGTAAAGCCTGGTCCGTGAGCACGTAGAATTTTGTCCAATGATGAAGGCGTAGACCTTCAGGTAGCAATAAGGCTTACCTACTATGAGCCACTGGTGCCTATGAGTTTTAGTCAGTCTAATTTACAGTTAGCGTCAAATAGTTCGTGACACCCAAAGTAGCCAAAAGGTTCGCAACACGTTTTTAATAATGAATAAGGTTATGTTGTCAACTTTTGGCCACTTTGGATGTCAGCACATCAAGCTATCAATTTTTGATGCAATCTAGCACCAATTACAGCTACATAAGATACTCCATTTTCTATCTTGTTGTGCTGTCTTCCTTACATCTCTGAAATTATGGTGTCAATGAGACAAGACATGCTCAAGTGGAACATCCCTCTTTTACTCAGCAAGTTTCGGACTACCTCTATATTTCATAATTAACTAGGTCTACTATTGTAGCCGTTGGTAAAAATTGTAATAAACCTCGGGAAGTTTCCAATTTGGTCGTTGGGTATATGACCAGTGAAACCCAGTGTCAACGCTCTATGCTAATTGCACGGCCAATATTGGCGCAATGGAAACACACAGCGTAGGTTGACTCTAGATAGTTAGCAGACGTGCGACAGAAAAAAAAATCTTCATTTTGTGTCTTTTTACCCGACTGCGTACAAGAGAGTATTTGTTTAAAACAATATGCATGACCCTAGAGAACAAACGCGTGCGCCGATTTTGCGGAATCGTATGCCATTCGATTTGTCTCTATCTTGCGAATGTCACTGAAGACATCTAAGAGTAGGCGCACACCGTTGATTTTTAGTTGGCCGATAGTTGTTCCCGATTTTAAATTGTATGAAAAATCGGCCAAATCGAATTGGCGTAGTGTGCGCACTCCCATACATGCCCATACTGATCAACTGCCCGACTAAACTATCGGCCGATGAAAAATCAACGGTGTGCGCCTACTTTTATAATCCAGTATGGCGACTACTAGAGATACCAACTTTATGTCACAAACGTGATAGTTGTAAGGTTGTAACTCCGAAATCGCATAGCTCTGGTGTTTTACTTTTTTTTTACTTCACTCCGTGAAACGGTTTCGAAATTGAAACTAACTCTAATGTTACTTTCTTTAACTATACTTCTAAAGAAAAAATCAAGTACCTATAAAACGTACCGTGGCTTTTCATATTATTTGCGTTGTTTAAACAGCAAACGCGTCTAAACTATAGTACCTAATTAAGATAGGAATGTCGCACTTTCTATTTCCAGAAATAATGGAATATAATATTTTTTTTTCTTACCTCTAGTTATAATTTGTAATATTATGTATAGTGAAATAAGTTAAAAAAATTAACAGCAATAAAGGCTTATTTTATTTTATTTTTTTAATAAATTGTATAAAGAGAGCATGATTTATCTTCTTTCTGATATTATAACTACTTATCCGCCTCTGTGGTCTTGTGGTAAGACCACCTGCTTCAGACGCAGAGGTCCCGGGTTCGATTCCCAGTGGGGGCCGATTTTTCTGTTCGGTTCGGTTGGTGGTAGGGCTTGTTCTAAGTCCACCTGGCTAGCTACCACCATCTTACCTAAGTCTGCCATAACAACAATGTTAACAGCATTGTTGTGTTCCGGCAGTTAGAGGTAAGATAGCCAGTTCCTCCGTGGTTGAGGATTCCGGGTGAAGCTCGCTTCCACCTTCGGCCTGATCATCACTTACCATCAGGTGAGATATAGGTTATAGGCCAAGAGCTTCCTCGTTGTAAATAAAAAAAATATTGGCTTTAAATTGCTATACACATAAATAATGCAAAATAATAGGCGCATAGAAAGTATTTACTTTACGCTTCATGTCCCACTAAACATTTTCGTTAACACTTTAACGCCCGTATTCACAAACGATGCTTGCTTAAGTGAAGCAGCAAATCGAACGCACAGCGTTGAATAGAGCTCTGTGATTGGTTCGTGTGTCACCCTGTGTATCCACACGCACTGTGAGACCTCATAGTAATGTTCGTGAATACACAGTTGACAAGTTGTTACGCCCACTTATTATTTTATTACTGTGATTAAGGATAATTAACTTTTTAACTCGTGATTCTTTTGTTTTCAATGAACCTGTAGTAGTTGTTTGAAGAATTAACCAGTTTAATCATTATTTTTACTCCTTGAACTGTTGAAAAGAGTTATTATAACGTTAGTCATACAGAGTCCATGACCGAGTTCGAGCCATAATAAAATTAATAAAGTATGAAAATCCACAACTATAATATTATGTTATGTGGCTCTGCATTTTCAATTTCTGAATTACGGACTTAAGTTCCTGCTACTAAATAAAATAATTAAACTGGTTTATTTTATGAGAATTTTTTGACATCCATGGCTATCTAGATTTTTGTGATTTCTATGTAGAAATTAAACAATACCTACTTTTCATCTTAAGACAAAATTAATTTAAAATCACAAAAGTCTAGATTCTGTGGAGTTTTACTATATCCTGAAATCCATATCCAGAATCTGTATAGACCTAGCCTGTCTTTGTGAATGCTGTACTATTTTGTGAATAGCATGCATTAGTTTTAAGTAACAATTTACTTTATTATCTATAGCGTAAATACTAATTTTGTTTGTTAGGAAGGTGGCCTGGCTTCAACGCAGTTTCTACTAGTGACGGCGGTAGACTATTTTTTTTATCTTTGTCTATGTCATTAAAACATTTTTACTCATAAAAAAGTAAAACAGTGCTATAGTTTTGACTTTGGAATGCTTTGTCGCTTTCTGTCAAATGGTTAATTCATATTGAAAGAAAGAGACAGTGTGTTTTAATTAAAACAGGACTGTTTTAGTTTTTAGGAAGGGTATTCATATATCATTGGGTCTCTCTCTAGTCTCTACGTGACGTCGAATTGTGATTTCGATTGATTCATTTTCATAATCGTTCATTTGGCTGTGAGGAAACATTTTGTTCAAAATCATTGGTCTTTCTTTTAGTTCATTTGGTTAAATATTTTGGGTTTATTCATTAAATTTCACATATGGGTGTGTGCATGTACCGACATAATACTATAGGAGAATATTTTTTAAATAACCAAACGTAGTATCAAAGTAAATTTTTGGAGTAATCATTGAGCTATAATGCTCAATCTTAGAATATCATCATTACTTACCATCGAGCAATATTGATGCCAAATTGCAAATCCAGACTTCGTATTATAAGCGACTAGCTTTCCGCCCGCGGCTTCGCCCGCGTGGAATTTTGTCTGTCACAGAAAAACTTTATCGCGCGCGTCCCTGTTTCAAAAACCGGGATAAAAACTATCCTATGTTCTTTCCCGGGACTCAAACTATCTCTATGTCAAATTTCATCAAAATCGGTTGCGAGGTTTAAGCGGGAAAGCGTAACAGACAGACAGACAGACAGAGTTACTTTCGCATTTATAATATTAGTTGGGATTTAAAATCAGCACTGGACCTGGCCCATTTATTGTCCAGGGGCAGTGGAAGGGTTAAAAGGTAAAATTGGGACGTGTACAAGCTTTTTAAAAGCCTATTTGCAAAAAATAAAATACTTTTTTTTTTTATGCCTAACAAGGCAGGTATTTGACCACAATCGCACCTGATGTTAAGTGGGATGCGGTCTAGGATGGTACATATCTGCCCTGTAAGTGCCTATTCACTCTCGCCTTGAAAAGGCCCGGATTATAGTTTTCGGGAAAGACAGAATGACTTTTATGACTTTTTCAAGCATTGGTTATCAAGTCTGCAAGTCAGTTGTAATTCTCATTTGGGTCAAGTATACGAATAAGTTTCGTTCATAAGTTATTGCCAAAGAACCGTGAGCAGTTCATTAGTAAAAATCTTTTCTCACGTACGTGGGGTCGCGGGTTCAAGTCCCAGCACGTGCTCGCATTTCGTAATCTACTACTGATTAGGCACTTGTATTTGTATTATGGGAACCGAAACTAGGACTTTCCAAAGTGCTTTGACCATTTACTTTGACGACTACATAATGACACTTGCGTCGATAAAGTTGGATATATCTTCCGCGTCTTAAAAAACCTTACGGGAATACTTGTCTTCAAAATCCACGATAAATTAATAGAGCTAAAACACACGTTATATCAATATTTTCTCGACATAGGCAGAAATAAACCTTCCAGTTTGATGGCCAGACCACTAGCCAAAAAAAATCGTACTGGTGGTGGTGGTGCCAAAATCGTCCCTTGAAGGGTTCTCCTACCTCATAGATACCTAATTATGGTAGCATTAATAATTATGTGAATCCATATTTTTATGGAAACTCCACATAATATTTATTATAATATAGGAAACAATACTTCTCATCCTCATTGCTTGAGCAATCCCATATCACAAGGACACTCACATTGTATTGTACAATTTCTCATTATTTTATTGAGTTATCGCTGTACGTGACTTGCTACCTCTGATGTCATGCCGATTTGATTGGGACATTCAATGCTGCCAAGATTTTTGTAGACAAATGACAATAATAAAAAGCTAACAAAAAATTACAATTGTAGCAATTGTAACTCCTCTCTATCTCTTCCCAGTCTTTTATACGAGAATAACTCTAAATATGTCAAAATGACGAATAACTGACGATTTATTCTGAGATTAATATTTACTCTTGTTTGGTCGAATCCACCCTCAGTGGCAGAAAAGTTCACTCATTATCATCATTACAGCCTCAGGACGTCCACTGCTGAACATAGGCATCCCCCAATAATTTCTATATCGCCCGGTTGGAAGCGGCCTGCATCCAGCGCCTTCCTGCTACTTTTATGAAGTCGTTGGTCCACCTTCTGAGTGGAAGTTCACTCACATTTCGTAAATTACCTTTTCGGAAGTCCGATGCTTTTACCTCACTTTTTAGTTCCGCTAGTTCTTGACCATCAGGTCATTTGGTCTCCCTCCACTGCAGCAGCACACGATCTAAAATTCTAAAGATCTGGGGGCACGGCAGTGCCCCCACCAAG